CGCCCGGTCGCACCGCGGGCGAGTTGCGAGCGGGACTCCTCGAGGTGGGGCGGGAGGCGGGGCAGCTCCGGCAGGGAAGGGCGCGGGGGCGGGCGGCTCTGGCGGCTCCAGCAGCGACCCGCAGCCCGGCGGCTCCAGCGGCGACCCTCGGCTCCAGCGGCGAAGGTCGGCGGCGGTGGCGACCAGCGCAGCCAGGGGCGAAGGGCGGCGGGGAGGGGGGGGCACACGCGGCCACGGCTGGCGACTCCAGCGGCGAGCGGCTTCCGCGGCTGCACCTGCGGCGAAGTGCGGCTCCGGCTGCACATGTTGGCCCGCTGGCGCCTGAAATATGGGCCCGGCCTGGCAGAAACGTGATTAACCACGGCGAAGTGGGCGGTTCCACGACATGGTAGTTTTTAGTCATAGATTAGCAAAAAAGTGGTAGTTTTCGGGACAAAATCGTAAAGTGGTAGTTTTTCGTCACGGTTCCGTGAATTGTGGTAGTTTTTGGTTAAATACTCTCACAGCGAGGCAGCTGGCCGAGGCCGATGGCTTCCTGTTCGGCTTCCCGACACGCTTCGGCATGATGGCGGCGCAGATGAAGGCCTTCTTTGACTCCACCGGCGGCCTCTGGTAGGCTCAGTCCCTCGCCGGCAAGCCCGCGGGCGTCTTCTTCGCCACAGGCACCCAGGGCGGCGGCCAGGAGACCACGGCTCTCACGGCCGTGACACAGCTGACGCACCACGGCATGCTGTTCGTGCCCGTCGGATACACGCACGGCGCCGGCATGTTCGGCATGGACGAGGTCAAGGGTGGCAGCCCATACGGAGCTGGCACCTTCGCTGGCGCCGATGGCAGCAGGGTACCTAGCGACGCCGAACTTGCCTTGGCGGCGCACCAGGGGAAGTACTTTGCCGGCATCGCCAAGAAGCTCAAGGCCGTCTGAAGTTGCATATTGTGTATGGATGATTTCCACTTGCACGTCGTGTCAACTGGATCAAAATTTGTTTATTTACCAATTACTACAATATACTGGTTTCTATTATAATTTCTTTAAGCTATTTCTATACCATGTTTGGAAAGAATAATGCGTTCAAGTTGGCAACACCCCTGCTCAAAAAATGGTTTCTCCGGCCGGTGCTGGTTTAGATGACAGCGTGCATTTTGACCCTTTACGTTTGTTTGGGTCCGGCCGAACAGACGGCTGTGTCTACTTTTTCATTTGCGTCGGCCCTTGCACAGAACGATGAAACGATTTTTTCCCCCTTATTTATAAAATATAAAAAACACCGGTTTAAATTTAACTTAGTTAAACATTAAACACGGCCGGTCAATCACATAACAAAGTCCACTTAAACATTAATAAAACTTAAAATGGACATTAAAAAAACTTGCGCCCTAGGGCGCTGCCTTAGGCGTCATCATTCTCCCTCGGGCCGGTAAGTTGATGTACGCCGGCGTTGGCCTAGCCTAGTGTAAAGCGCTCTCCCACGCCGCCAGCGCCGCCTCCTCCACCATCTGCCCCGCCGGCTGCACTGCTGTGCGGCAGGCATGCTTCTCCTCCTCCCGTGCCTAGCGGGAACGACGCTCCTCCTCCTCGCGCTCGGCCTGCATCTGGCGCTCGCCATCGGTGCGCTCCACCGCCAGTTGGACCTGTCGGCAGTGCTCCAGATAGGCAGCCTCCTGCTCCGACGTCGCACCCAGCACGACAGGCGACGCGTTGACCCACTCGCGGAGGTAGCCGGTCCACGCGTACCTCTCTAGCTTGGGCTCTGTGGGCGGCGGCTCGGCCTCCTGGCACTAGCTTTCCTCCCGCGTGTGCTGCAGTGCCACCTCCTGTGCGGCCTGGTAAGCGGCCTCCTCCTCCTTTGGCGCGACCTCTGGGGGCGGCGACACGAAGCCGAGGTTTAACTGCACGCCGTCGCATCGGGCCACATCGTGCTCTGTGGCAAACTAGACCTCCCAGTTGGGCCCCACAAGCCACCATGGCGTGCCTAGGGGGCAGGGCGCCCCCTGGCTGATGGGCCCACTGGGGCTCTTTTCTTGTAAATCTTTCTTCCAATATTTTTTGTATATTCCAAAATAAATCTCCGTAAAATTTTATGTTAATTTGAGCTTCGGAGAATTGTTATCTCTACTACAACATTTTTAGGTCAGACTTCCATTTGCCAGTAATCTCCCTCTTTTAATGTATCTTTCATTTTAAGAGAGAAAAGACATTATAATTGCATCAATACATGGAATATAACTTCAAAACAAGTTAAATAACAGTAGGAAATCATGATGTAAAATAGAGTATTAGCCAATCTTGCAAAAACAAGGCAGATTCGATCGTTCGGCCTGGTTCAATAGGATAAAATTTGTTTCAAAAGGAAAAAAGCTAAGCAGCGAACCCCGATAGCTCGGCGCTCGGAGTAGTAGGCAATATCGTCCCTTTTGGTCCGGAAGGTCTAGCCCTTGGTCGTATAGCGCAGGGTTTGTATCTCGTCGATGTCCCTCCCCTTGTAGAAACCTCGGATGACCGAGGTCTCGTCGCAGGAGACAAACTTGCACAATGAGGAATATTGGACTTGAAGGGGCCGAGCTCCATGGTAGAGCATGACATGTACCACATCGATAAGAGTAACACCCTAGTCGATGCAGAACTTCACCTGCTCTTGTAAGGCCTCCAGTTCCTCCTCGTCCCCCTGAGCGATAGTTTGGGTGTTCCAAGAGTGCAACCTCTCCAAGATCACGACCGATAAAGCGGGGACCCCTTCTCGGTTACCCAATGGAACATCGGCCATGTAGAACCATTCCTCACGCCACAACTTGACTATCTCAATGAACTTCCCGAGCAGCCATCTCGCCCTTAGGATCTTGCTAATCATGCCCGCCCCACACTCTGTGAGTTGGCCCCCATTGGCATGCACCTTGATGCAAAATCATCTGAGCTAGAGCCCGAAATGAGGCTCAATGCAGAGGAAGGCCTCGCAGAAGGTAATGGGGGAGGCAATGTGGAGGATGGAGTTGGGGGCGGGGTAATGGAATTGGATGTCATAGAAATAAAGGAGACCTTGAAGGAATGGTTGGATGGAAAATCCACTACTACAGGATGGTCCAAATGCGACAGTACAATCAGAGACCCTTTGACCAAAGTGTGTGTGATGCATTAATCACAAAAGTTGTCATAATAAAACCGTCCCAAATAATACAAACTGTTGGCGATGGCGGCGTCATCAAACACGATTCAGATTAGAGTTGCGTGTGCGGTATGTGGCATACATTTGATCCATACAAACTGCTTGCGATGAGCAAGAACAACAAAAATGGTTAGTCATATCAAGGTGTGTGCGATAGACAACATACATTTCAGTCGGATGAACTATTTGCGATTACCCAACACAACAGAGACAGTCAACCAAATGAAGGTGTGTGCGACATAGGGCATACAATTCACTCGTATGATCTGTTTGTGATGATACAAAACAACAGAAACGGTTCATCAACAATATGTGTGAGATACGAGGCAAACAGGTCAGAAATCAGAAGTGTGTGGGAAGACCAACAACAACGCAGACGATTCCTGCTAATAGGACATGTGTGTTGTGGGCAAATGCTTTCTGGTACACAATTGTCAGCGATTGATGAAATCATCACCGACAGGTTCCCTAGTTTAGTCTGTGTGCGATGTGATTTGCGCTGTCTACACAAGAACAACATATATAACCAAAATTGAACATATGATCATCTACTTCTTGTGATGCTGCCACCACTACTTTGTGGCTCGACATCGCCTGGGGTAGGACGAAGGCACTTCATCATGTCAACGATCTGCATGTACATCTCATAGCTTGTGTACGCATACTTGATGTGTTTTTCATCCAGTCTATGCTCCCAGGCACTATGCCAAGCGATCTTGTCCTTCTTGCACTCAACCTTCATTGTAGTAAGGGTCGATGATGGACGAGGAGAGGTCAACCAGGGAGTTCTGCTCATTCTTCGAGCTTCCCCAGACCCTGTAGTGGACGCGGATGTCGACAAGCTTCTGGCAGGCCAAACCCGAAAGCTCGAGCGCTTTTAGATCATTGATGATGTCCATCATAGAGAAAACTATCGTCGAGGCTGTTGATAAACCTGGCGAAACGCTCGCAAGGCCTTGTGGCCAGGCAGTAGTGGTAGACGAGGACGTGATGGCACGCACACACTGGGCGATGGCAACCTTCTGGTCATGCCCGACACGACCGCCGGTGAACTCGAGGTCAAAGCCGACCAGTTGATACTTGTCCTCAGTAGTCAAGTGCTCCATAGTGTGGATGGAGCTCTCATCGAGACCGGCTCATTCGTATACACCACTGAGAGGTCATTCCCCCTCATGTGGGTGTCCACTATGCGAGGCATGGTGAACTACCACTCGTCGTCGTCGTCAGCTGTTGGGAGTGTCATTGGAGCTGCTAGATACTTTCTCTGTATGTGTCGTTGTGGGTGTGCTTATTGTGTCATGGGGCGCGAGAGACTAAGGTAAATAGCTGCGGGAATAAATGGGGGTCGGTGGGCCTGGATTCCTGGCACATCCGCGCGGCAGTTTTTGCAGCAGGTAACTGCATCCTGGCGCACGTAACTGCATCGTGGCTCTACGCAACCGCATGCATATGGCACCCTGAACGTACGTGATCATGCGCCAGCCCTAAACGCTGGTAGCGCGCGTGGAGGGATGCGAGCAGAGTGTGCCACGCCTGATTCAACCGCGAGGAACCACACACAAAGATCAGTTGAACACGCAGGGAATGGCCGTCTACAAGTCGGTCGGCGGTTACGAGCCAATGGCTTGATGTGAAACTATATACGCCGGGTTCCACATCACACAAGTGGGCAGACAATCGTTTGCGACGCTTCGTAGAGAGCGGCCGTGTGCTAGGTAAGTAAATTGCAAACATTTTTTTTAAACCGTATGTGTATGTGTCATTTCGTCCTCCTCTCGCATGTCTTCTCACCGCGCTGTCGCAGAAGGCTTTGAGCGCAAGCTTGAGCACCGCACATGCGTTGTTTTGGCAAAACATTGGCTTGAAGAGGCGCCAATGAATCGTCGGTGAGACCATTCCCGCGCAAGCGCGCCGGTTCCCGTTCAACCGCGCAAGCTTCCCGCCCGACCTGACGAAACCCCCCAAAATCCCAATGCTAACCGACCTGCTATATAAACCCTCACGGCCGGCGAGTCCGCATTTAATTTCCCCTTCCTCCCCATAGCTTATCTCGTCTGTTTCTTCCTGGTCCGTCATCATCGCTCGGCCACTCCGCCGTCACCAGAGGACAGCTCCAGCTGGGAGGCTACATTGTGGCGGCAGTGTAGTCCCTGGCGTCGTGTACTGCGTGTGGTGTTCCTGTTGGGTGTGTGCACAACAGCCACCACACGCTCCGTCGCCGCTTCCCGTGGGCAGCTGTTGCCGGCCGCCGTTGCCGCCACCCCACCGCCGGCCGCCAGGGCCATCGCCCGCTCCGCCACCGTGGCCTGAAGGCGGGAGGTGGCCGTTGTGGCCTTCACCCCATCGTCGGCCGCCATGGCCATCACCTGCTCCGCCACTGCAGCCCAAAGGCGGGAGGTGGCCGCCGTGGCCGCTACCTCACTGTCGGCCATCGTGGCTGCCACCCCATCATTGACCGCCGAGGTCATCACCCGCTCCGCCACTGCGGCCTGAAGGCGGGAGGTGGAGGCCAGCATGTGCGTCAACGACCTTGTGCGCTACATCAAGTTCCTACGAGAGCAGGAGGAGCGCCTGGTCGAGCACGCAAAGAGTCTTACCGCCACTGTGGCCGCAGCACACGTCGCCACAGATGCCTGAAATTCGGAGACCTACGAGGAGTCCCACTGCTTTGAGAAGGATCGTTAGGAGCAGCAGAGGGCATTCGAGCTGGCCGTCACTAAAGGTGCAGCAGCGGCAGGCGCCGGATTCCTCTTCCTCAGCTCAT